TGCCCTGAAGTTTCATGTAAAAGAACTCAGAACAGGGTCTGTAGAGAAACCGTCCTCTGAAAGGGTAGTATGCACTCTTAAGCACTGAACCTTTTCGCAGCCCTGTTTTTATTTTATGAGACAGCATCAGGTGTAGTTTAGGACGACCTCCTCATCCTCCTGCCTCTACTTCTCAAGGGCTGGGATTGCGGGCATGTCTGTCTTGGTGCCATCTCTCCAGTTCAAAATGTTTTCTTATGCTTTATAATTTTCTATAAATTTTTCTTATAATTTTTGATGACAGAATAACCTCCACTGAATTTATGTAAGAAATGTAGGAAGTAATTGTGGCCCGTGATATACACAGTCTTACACATTGCCCTGTACACTCCCGCAGAAGAGCCTTTTTGGCTAGACACTGATGAGACCAGAAGGATTTATTTATCCACAAATTTATGTTGTCTGATGTTCCTACAGGTCCTCTGACTCTGCACTTTAGTCTCTGGTGTCAGGTGAGTTATCAGCAGGCAGAGGTATTCCGGGAAAGCCACTCCTCCATGGAGTCAGCTGGCAATAACTGGAGCATACATGCACCAGAAACTTTAGTAAATGCAAGCCACACAAGCCCTCAATTGCCTTTAGCCTGAACCCCAAATGTCAGTCCTTACGAGACAAAGCTTGGCAAAGGAGGGTTGGAGTGAATCAGCAAGGTTAGAATATATTTTGCAAATTCTACAAAAATCAGATGACCATGTGAACACCATCCAGGGCCTTGGGAAACACCAGTGCAAAAGTGAAGAGGTTGGCTGTGGATACCACACACGGTTGTAGTTTGCATCGGCCCTCGCCGGGCTCCTGCTTCAGGCTGACTCCACTCTCGACCTTACCTCCCTCCTTCTCTGCACTTGCCAACTCCTTTCGACCCTTCTAGCTCATGCATTGCTCTATTTCAAGAAAGTGCACAATAGCACAGCCTCATGCTTTTGTTGACATAGGTGTGTCCAACAAATGAGACTGTCACACCCATCCCACACTCCAGTAACTACAGCCCAGATGTCCACACTCCTGGTGTGCTTTCCGGAAGTCCCCTAAGACTTAAATAAGAATTGTTTACCTGGTGAATGACTAATTGCCTTAATATGTTTTGGGTTGATTGGGTTTTTGTTTGTTTTTGTTATGTGATAACACTTAAAAATCTATTTTCAGCCAATTTGAAGAGACTGTGGTCACCACAGTGATGCACCGCAGCTTCCTGGTTGTCTCCCAAATGATGGGATCACAGGCATGAGCTACCATGCCCTGATCCATTTTGATTTATTATTATTGCTTTGTTGTATTTGGAGAGTGTCCTGTGTAGCCCAGGCTGGCCTCCGACTCACTATATAACCAGGAATGGCCTTGGCCTTCTGTTCCTCCTGACTTTACCTCCGTTTTGGTGCTGGGATCACAAGCATGAGCCACCCAGCTCACGTTCAGTTTCTTACACTTCACTCTACTTGAGATCACTACTGAGTGTTTGAAGCTGCTTCCTCCAGGCCATTGGGTAGAATTCAGGGGCTCCTGCCAAGAGCTCTCCTTGTCTCCTGAGTCCCATGAGCTGTCTCATTTTTCTGGGATCCTTATGCTCAGACTTAGAGCCTCGAACAATTTCCGTGGTTTCCTTATGTGCCCTCTGGATTGTGTCCGGTATTCAGCATGTTGGCTGGTAGTTCCCTGGAGCTGGTATTGCATCCTGGGCAGAGGATGGGGATCATCAAAGGACACAATTACAGAGCAGAGAGGATTTTACACAGGCCCACTTTCCTCCTCAGTCCCCCTGCCTCTGCCCCTTTTGCACTTCTCCTGGGCACTTAAAAACTGTCACAGTTCTGTCTCTCTCCATCTGTATATTTCAGAGTTACCTTTCTTCATCTGTGTGTGTGCGTGTGCGTGTGCGTGTGCGTGTGCGTGTGCGTGTGTGTGTGTGTGTGTGTGTGTGTGAGAGAGAGAGAGAGAGAGAGAGAGAGAGAAAGAAAGAGACAAAGACAGAGAGAGACAGAGAGATACAGAAACAGAGAGACAGAGAGATGGGGGAATATGAATGAGGACAGGACTATGGCAGCAGCTTCCAGTCCTTAAGTGAGATTCTGAAGTCATGTCCTTCCTGGGAGGCAGCACCACCTACTGTCCGAATAGAAACATCTGCTGAAACGTTGAGCTGAAGGAGCCACTCCATTGCTTCATTTTAGGCAGAGTTTCAGGCAATTCAGGCTAGAATAATTTAGAATGTACACGGAACTAGAGTTGATACGATGACACCTAAGAATGCACATCTATGAAGTTGGTAAGGAGATCAAAACAGGAATCAAGTGGGTTAGAGCGTAGGGGTCTTCCAGGCCCTGTGTGGGGTTAACTACAAGAAGGAGAGTGAGTTCTGAACCTGGGCCTGCCTTGGCAGTTCATTTCACTGCAGCAGGAGGGAACGTAATGTGGTCCTCAGGTGAATTAAATCCTCTAGTCCCCTATTTTCCCTGTATCAGAAAAGGATTAGGAAACAGAAAGTCTTAAAGGATAGTTGCTTTGTTTAGTTTGCCCAAACCAGAGAAAAGAAATACTCTTGTTCCCACCTTTTCAGAAGCATGTTTACAGTTCTATAGCCAAGACAAACAGCCAGGGAATATACATATGTCTATTTAGTAGGAAATGAGGCTGGCAGAGCTGTGCGAATCTCTTTTTCTGACTGGCACAAAGCTTCATCCTTTCCCTCCCCCGGTGTGAGGCTCCTGGGAAAATGTTAATTCTTTGGGGTCTATTAGTCTGGTAGCCGGTGGGCAGGATACCCTGACTCTCCTCAGAGCATCTGGTCTCCCACCAGGGTCAAAGTCCCACGATGGTTAGAGGTGAGAAAAAGCCAACAGCTAACATAGAGAATCCAAGGGGGACCACTGATGATCCAAACTGTCAGTCATCAACATACGTGTAAACTGATAAAGTATCACAGGAATTCATTTATAATTGTCCAGACAAATTAAAAAAATCTGAGTGATGGTGCTGGGGATGTAGTCAGCTGTGGAGTACTTGCCTGGCATACATGAAGCCCTGGGTTCCACCCCCAGCACGGGCGGCTCATGTCTGTAATCTCAAAACTTGGGAGGTGGAGGCAGTAGGATCAGAGGTCAAAAGTCATCCTCAGCTTCACGGAGAATTCAAGGCTAGCCTGGACTGCATGAGACCCTGTCTCAACTGTGAACCTCCCACCCCCCCACCCCCAAGAGAGAGAAATGCTGCTTGCTGTGGTTGTTGTGAGGGTGACAAATCCATTTCATTTGTATTCTGCCGACTTCCACATTTCTCTCACAGGACTGCAGACTAGGAAAGGAAGGCTTACGGTGCTCAACAGGAGGACAGGTTTAAAGGGTATGAAATGATGCAAAGATACATCCCTGCCTCCCAGATGCAGAGTGGGCAGCAGCCTTCAGAAGGAGGGGAGTGTAGCACTCACTAGGGCATCAGTGAAGAACACCTTTGGGTGTGTCAATAAAGATGTTTCCAGAGAGAAGACCTGCCCTCAAGTGGGTGGTATTGTTCCGTGAGCTGGGACCCCAGACTAAAAGGGACAAGGGGAGAAAGTCAGCTGAGCACCACCAAGTATCTCTTTCAGTTTCATGATCCACCTGGGTGTGAGCAAGCAGCCTCGTGGTCCGGCTGCCACAGCTTCCAGCCACTCCTGCCTCCATGCCTTCTCCACCATGGACAGTAACCTCCAACTGTAAGCCCGAATAAACCCCTCTCCCTCAGTCACTTCTTGTCAGGTATTAGGTCAGAACAATGAGAAGAGTAACAAATACCTGATGGCATCCCTCGGGCACCACCACTGTTGAAGCTGAGACCATTAAGGACAGTGGTGAGGAATGTCCCCAGCATCACCCAGGTACCATGGTCCTGTGACACAACCAGACTTCTGGTTCCACATATGTCGGGTTCTTGGGGCTCATTCTATAAGGCATTTCTCAAGTCCTGTGAGATCTGCTGAAAGACACCAAGACTTTCCTCTTCCCGTCAGCAAATGCGCCACACCCTGCAGCAAAGTCCATCTCACCGTTCAGTGAGCCCAGCTCATGGCTGTATTTTCCCGGTAATTCAGTGCTGAAACAGGGTGAGTCTCTTCCCCTTCTCCCTATTTTTACTGACATGCGAGTATATATAACTGGCATAATTCAAGAAGAGCTGCTCATCTGCTGGCCTTCTCCCTAGGTCTAGAGACCAAGAAAATGACCTGGAGTTGAAAAGGAGAAATTTGAGGTAGGATAGTAAGAGAGCTATTTTGGGGAGGATGCTCAGACAAGAAGTGTGAGAAGGATCTGGAGGCACTTCCTTCTTTGGGTCATCCTTGGAAGTTGTTTGAAAAAAAGGTATAATGTAGCCTCAAATATTATTATATGCTCTGTCTGTCTGTCTGTCTGTCTGTCGGTCGGTCTCTCTTTCTCTCTGTGTGTGTTTCTCTGTCTCTGTCTCTGTCTGTTTCTCTGTCTCTGTCATCTCTTTCTCCTGTTCTCTTTTAGCATGACATCACTGCAGTCTTGGAAAACTTGGTGGTTGATACAGACTGGCTGACAAGGTTCCACCGTAAGTGGTTGGGGGTGTCACACAGTAACAGTGAGCCCTGTGGGGTAGCAGCGCAGGAGGGACACATAAAACTCTGGCTGAGTGCTTCCCACTGCCACACAGCAGAGAAGACTGTCAGCTTGTCCTTGAGAGTTTGCTTCTGGCCATGACACCATGGCCTGAAAGTTTTTTTTTAACTTTAAATTTGAACTATAAAAAGATTCCACAGAAAACTTGCAAAAACAGAATTGGGGTTGGATTACCTGCTTCCTCCAGGTCTATGAAAAATGAAGAATAATTTTAAGTTTATAAAACACTGAGCTGTTTCTGAAATTCCTGCCTGGTTGTGTTTCTTACAGCCCAGGCTCTGGCATCTCTGATCCAGGGTAGACAGTGACCTGAAGTCCAGGTCTGAGTCCACTCTGTCCTACTCAGATCAACTTCCACTGAGCCCTATCACCTGAGACTGTCTGGCCTTCAAACGACCCAGTGGGGAGGCCGGTGAGGTGGGGGCCATGGTCCCTCTTCACAGGGACAGCCAGGAGGACATCTGTCCCATCTGCCTGGATCCCCTGAAGGAAGCTGTGAGCACCGACTGCAGGCATCTCTTCTGCCGAATGTGCCTGACCCAGCACATGGATAAGGCCTCAGTCTCTGGCGTCCTCAGCTGCCCAGTCTGCAGGAAGCCCTACTCTGAGGGGGTCCTTGGAGATGGTTACATCTGCTACAGCCACCAGAAGAGGGTGTGCAGTTTCTGTGAGACAAGCAGACATCTCCTGTGTGTGGAATGCCTCAGGTCCCCTGAACACCAGTCTCATACTGAGCTCTCCATTGAAAATGCCATCAGCCACTATAAGGTAAGGCTGCGTCACCCCCACCAGCCCCTGCCACTGGCTCCATGAGTTACTGCTTCTGAGCTTGGCTCCTCACAGGGGCTCGGTGACTGACACCTCCTTTGAGTCTTCATCATCAACTTGGAGCTCCGGTCTTTGCTTTCTATGTGCCTCGCTGCTAATCTCAGGGTTTCCAGGCCTCTGTGTGTCTATCTAGGTGATCCTGCCACTGTGATGGCAGAGTCTCAGGAAGCTTGGGCCCCTGGGTTTGCTCAGCTGTATAGATAATCTACTAGATAATGGGATTCTGTACTAGATAATAAGAACCACTTCTGGCCTATGATTACACGGTTCCCTGGTGGATGGTTCTAGAACCTAGTCTAGACACTCAAGATTTATTTGTGAAAATTGTACATGAAGTCCTATTTCTCCCCTTCCTTCTTTTGTTAATTATGATTGTTGTTTTTTGTTTTAGTTAATTTTTTTTCTAAAAATGACTCGCACTTTTAGTAGTAAATTCAGGCAACACCTAAATATTAAATAGCAAAACTAAAAATCTTGCCTCTGTGATGGGAGACAGTTGAGGGTAGAGGAGCTTTCCACCAAGCTTCATTCCAAGTTCAGTCTCTGGAACCCACATGAGGGAAGGATGGAAATGATTCCCATTGACTGTCCACTAAACTCCACACAAGCTCCATGGTATGTGCTCCCTTCCAAATAAATAAATATAATAATAATGAATCTTTTCCCTGTCTTCCCTCATTATTAGTCTTCAGGGGTAGCCAGTATTAGATTTCTTTTAATCTATCTTTCCAGAAAAACTGTGTGTTTGAATATTCTCTTTAAAACACACACACACACACACACACACACACACACAGAGAGAGAGAGAGAGAGAGAGAGAGAGAGAGAGAGAGAGAGAGAGAGAGTCAGAGAGACAAAGAGACAGAAACAGAATCAGAGACAGACACTAGAGATGTAGCTCAGTGGTAGAGTGCCTGCCTGGCATAAATGAAGCCATGGATTCAATGCCCAGTACTTCAAAAAACTAAAACAACAATGAATGCATAAAGGACTCTATTGACTTATCTATTACCGTATACACATACGATGTGGTGGTGGTGGGGCACGGCATGCACGTGGAGGTCAGAAGACAGCTTTGTGAAGTCAGTTCTCCTTTACCATGTGGCTTGTCAGACTTGGTGGCAAGTGCCTTTACCCACGGAGCCATCTGTCTGGATCCCTCGATTTTTTTTTTTTTTACTATGTCTTGTTTTTATCATCTAGAACTATGTTTTGGACATTTTCCCATTTTCCCCATCAGTGCATCCAGATCTCTTGAACATCTTTCAACAACTGCATTCTGTCCAATTCTATGGATAAATCACAAGTTAGGAAACTGGGTTACTCACAGGTTATTGTTTTTAGGTTACACAGGATGTTATGATGAATATCTTTTAGTATGTATTTTGGAGAAGTTAAAAAACCCAAGATGCTTTGGTGAAAATAAAAGATAGAAAACTAACTTTACCTTTTCCAAATTATAGTAAATTGTCCCACTACCATTTATTAAATGTTTCATATAGATCCTGTCCTGTTCTATTAGTCTGTATGTTCCTGCCTGTGTGCAAACCTCCTCCTCTTCCTTCTCATCTTCCTCCTCCCCTTCCTTCTCCTCCTCCCCTCCTCCTCCTCCCTATTCCTCCTCCCATAGTACTAAGGATAAAAATTGGATCTAGGGTCTTACATATGCAAGGCAAACATGCTATGCTAATATACAGTCTTCTTTTTTACTTTTTATTTTGAGATGGAATCTTACTGTTGATTTCCATGCTGTAGCCTCCAGAGCAGCTAAGACTGCATGCATATGCCACCAGACTCGCCATGTTAAACCGTTTTAAGAATTGTACATTTGTAATATGGACAGGCTTTGTTGTTTTTTCTTTTTTTTTAATTTATTTTAATTTTTATATTGTATGCATGTAAATATATGTGCACCACATGCATGGTACCCAAGGAGGCCTGAAGAGGTCATCAGATTCCCTGGTACTAGAGCTACAGGCAGTTGTGAGCTGCCATGTGGGTTCCAGGTCCTCTGCAGGAGCAGTTAGTGCTCCTAACCACGAAGCCATCTCTCCAGCCCCACTGTTTGTGTTTCTTGAGGCAGGACCATACTCTGCAGTCCCAGTTAGTCTGTAATTGATGGCAACTACCCTGCCTTAGCCTGCTGAGTGCTGGAATTACAGATACATAGCACCACACTTAGGTTTTCTTTTTCCACTGTTTCCTCCTGCCTAAAACTTCTTTCTAGGCTACATCTTCTTCTTTCCAAACCTTAGTTCTTTCTTTTTTCTTCCTTTCTTTTAAAACTATCTTTTAAAAATGTTCTAGGGTTTGAACTCAAGGCCTCACATATGCTAGGATGTGTCCTTTCCCTCAGCTGTACCTCCACCCCAGCACTGGCATCTTCTTGTTGTTGCATCTTCCAGTTGTTCCAAGGATTAATGAGCCAAAGGCATGCCTTGGACACCAACTAATCTGCTAGAGAAACCTGTGTCATCTGGGGATGTTAAAATTGAACAGTTCTGAGACTTCATGATGTCATACCCTTAAAACAAGTTCTAGTCATTTCAAAGTCTCCTGCGCAGTGGCCTCACCGCGTCCTATCCTGATGCCTTCACACTGTGGCTGCATCCTCATCCCTAGGAACCCACTCTTAACACCCCATGCCCCTCTGCTTCAGAAGTAATGAGCAAGTCGGCAGTCACTTGGCTTCCATCTATCTCTGTTCTCAACCAGATCTGCATAATAATGTCTGTGACTGAGAATTTGTTGCCAGGCAGATACAAAGTTTAAGCATCTGAAGCTTCAGGGATGCCCTGGTGGAAGCCAAAGTGGACCCCCACCACCACTCCCAATTGCCCTGTTTGTGCTTCTGTCAGGTCCTCCTATCAATAATGAAGGGTGGATTTTCTTTCTCTTTTTTTCTTTGTGGTGTTGGGGTTTGAACCCAGGACCTCACACATGCCCGGCAAATGTTCTATCACTGAACTACTTCCTCAGCCCTGAAGGGTAAGTTTCCAAAGTCCTCCAGACAGTTGGCCTTTAAAGAACATTGTCACGGTCTGGAATGACAAACGAGGAAGTCTAAATCGGAACTGATTGTGGAGAATGATTCAGAAAGCTGAAAGGGCGATGTTCTACTGAGTTCTGTACCTACTAAGTGCAGAATGCACAGCAGAGGGGGCGGAGCTTCCCGCTGCCATGAGTCAGGTGTGAGAGGACAGGTCTTCTCCATCCTGGAGTGACTGACTCAGGTCTGTGCTCTCAGGTCATGAAAGGTGTCACGCAAGGCATTGGGAGGAAGTACAAAGGTGATTCATGACTACTGACTTCAAGTCCATATTTAAGTAATTACAGGAAGTGCAGATAAATAAATAAGAATATTTGTTCATTTGTCTCCTGCACATACGTAAAAGAATTGATGACAAACAAAACCAACTACACTTATTAGAAAGGCTGACAAGCAATTGAAAGAACTAGTGTTTATGATCTCAGAAGGAGATTAATGGGTGGCTCTTCTTAATGTGATCAACCAAGGCCTAATGGGAAGTGGCATCGAAGCTGTACCAGGGCAAAGACTGGGCACAGGGAGTAGATGGAGAAACCAAGTCCAGAGAAGTCCCGTTACTTTTGGAGAATTTATAATAAGGGCTTGTTTAAAATTGCTTTAATTACTTTTTCATGTTAGCATACAAAGCCATGGTTCAGGGCCAGGTATGGTGCTGTTCTTCTTTAGCCCCAGCACTTGGAGGTTAGAGGCAGAGGCAGGCTGATCTCTGAATCCCAGACTAGTTTGGGCTACATAGTGAAACCTCCAAACAAAAGAAAACAACAACAACAACATCAACAACAACAACAACAACACACACACACACACATACACACACACACACACACACACACACACACACACACACACACACAAGCACACAGGGCTTGGAGACTTAGTGGTTAAGAGGAATATTGCTCTTTCAGAAAACCTAAGTTTGGTTCTTAGCATCCACACCAGGTGGCTTACAACCACCTGTAACTCTATCTCCATGGAATCTGGTGCCTTTTCTGGGCCCCTTGGGTACCCACATGTGTGTACATATTTACAGAGAGAGAGAAAGAGAGAGAGAGAGAGAGAGAGAGAGAGAGAGAGAGAGAATGTTTGGAAATCAAAAAAGAGGAGGGTGCCAGATTCCCTAAAACTGGAGTTACAGCAGTTGTGAGCTGCCCAATGTGGGCATTGGGAACTGAGCCCAGGTCTCCTGAAGGCCAGCAACCGCTCTTAACTGCTGAGTCCTCCCCCAGAAATTGCTTTGTTTTGTTGTTTGAAACAGGATCTCAATACATAGTCCTGGGTGACCTGGAACTCACTGTGTAAACCAGGCTGGCCTCAAACTCAGAGATCCAGCTGCCTCTGCCTCCCCAGTGTTGAGGTTAAAAGTGAACAGCACCATGCCTGGTCTTGGTGTTTATTCTTAGTCTCACCCAAGGGCCTGCTGTGGATTCCCTTACTGCCTCACAATCCAGTTTGACAATAGCTGTGTCTGTCTCTAGGAAAGACTCATCCGCAGAAGCAGGAAACTCAGAAAGGACCTGGGAGATCTTCAACGGCTTAAGGCTCAGGAAAAGGAGATGCCACATGCTCTGCAGGTGGGTGTCTGAGTTCCAGGGACAGTCCAGAGTCCTGAAAAACCTCTCCTTTTGTTGTGGAAAACTGTCCCTGGAGCAGCCTGTTGTGGAATTATGATCATATAGGCTGAAAACCTGGGTTTGGGGCTTGACTCTGAGATTGGTGAACAGAATGACTTGGGGCATGTGAACCTTCTGACCTCCATACATCCTTTTTCTCAAGGAAAAACACCTATTCTCCCGGGTACATGGTGAGAATTAAAATAGATAGTTGGAAATTAAGGCACATCTTGTCCTTGACCATCACTTTTATATCCCTCTCGCTCACTTGGGTGAGCCCTCTCCTCACTTATAGGGTTAGAAGCACACATCAAAAGAACATAGCTGAGTGGTGTGTGTGTGTGTGTGTGTGTGTGTGTGTGTGTGTGTGTATGTGTGTGTGTTCTACTATGGCAGGACCCAGTCTCTGTAGATGTGCTCAGAACTATGAGGTGGGAAGGGAGGTGCTTTGTGAATTCAGTTGCTTCTGCAGTACAATGGCTGATGAGGTAAGACCGTGAAGGAAGAAAGTGGAGGTCAGTATTCCCTCCTAGACGTTCAGTGCATCGAGAGCCAGGGGCTCTATCATCAAATCTCAGGGTAGCTCCTCTTTTGTAGTTTCAGGAGGATTGGGAGAGCCACAGGCTAAGAGCTGAGCTGCAGAACCAAGATCAAACCAAGGAACAGCTGAAGACTCTACCTCAGCATTGGCTGGACCAACAAGAGGACCTACCAGCAGAGGTAGCTAAGATGTTTAACTTCTCTGAGGCAGTAACACAGCTGACCATCTTGGCTTCTGACATGGAAAGGATGGCCAGGGAACTGGATGCCAGCACTCTGAAGGTATACTTCCTAAGGTACCCCAAAATTCAGGGAGGGATGCTTTGAATAGTAAACAGCCTACCTGCAGATCCCTTCTGGGAGGTGTAAGGGGAGGTACTCCTGGTATGTGATGATTTTGTGTGTGTGTGCGTGCGTGCGTGCGTGCGTGCGTTCGTGTGTGTGTGTGTGTGTGTGTGTGTGTGTGTGTGTGTGTGTGTGGTGAGGGTGGCTTGTACAGGGCTACACCATGATACAACAGAGTGAAGAGCAGAAGAAAGGTGCTGTGCCCTCCAGCTCTCACGGTGGCATGCAGAGTGGCCTTCAAGCATGAGCTAGGAAGGGCATTCAGTGGCAAGAACATAGTAACTGACTGAGATTGTCACCCTTTCTCTCCCAGGATGCCAGTGACTTACTGCACAGGTATGATCCCCTCTCCCTCTGTCCCACACTTGAAGACACATGCAGACCCACATGACATAAATGTGTATTTGGGCAAAATTAAAGTCAAGGAGACATACTTGGTACTTTCACACTACATGGGCAGTGGAAGATTCAGTAGCATGTATGTTAATTTATGAATGATTTCTTTGTTTTTAGGAGTGCGCCACAGAAACTAGAAGGACTCCTCTCTCATCTTCCTCCATCCAGCCCAAACCTCAGTTAGTTCTCCTGGTGTGTTCTTACCCCCACAACTCTCACCTGGTGCCTTACCCTCTGACACTCGGACACAGTCTCCTTCCTAAGCCAGGCTTGAGCTTGTGGCTCCTTGTGGCTGGGCATTTCAGATCTCTATTATGCCCAGGGCCATTTGCACAATCTCCATATTACCTGTGATCTGGGGGTGGCACCTACTGTCCACGGTCTCATGTGAGCATCAAAGCATCTGGATGGCACAGATCATCAGAGTGAGGCCATCTCGGCGTATGGAGCTTGGCAGGTTTATTGGGGTAATATTTCTTCTGATTCTGATAGAGCCTCCTGCCTGTACTGCCCATGTTGTTCACTCATTATGACGGTTGCAGAGAGATCCAAGGGTGATTTCCACAGTCCTCACCCTCATGTTCATGTACCCGTGTAACCTGGTATCTGTGACATGCTTCTCATCAAAGGAATGTAGCAGAGGCGATGAAGGTCACTGAAGTGATCATATCTCCTTCCACTGGACTCTTGCTAATAAATGCATTTCTAGAGACACTTCTTGCCAAAGTTAGTGGCACTGAGGGGGAAAGATACGTGGGCAGCTCCTGGTTTCCTAGAGCAGCCTACATCCTCCCGCTGACATGAATCAGGGGGCCTGGTTTTACAGTAGCAAGAAAATGAATTCTGCCAACACTGTGACTAAAGCTGGAAGTAGATCCTTCTTCTGGGAACTGGTAGTGCCCAGCTTCTTACCCTGCCTCTGCCATAGTTTCCACAAGGCCTGAGAAATTGTAGGAAAGTTCTTTTTTCTTATTTCTGCATCTGTTTTTATAATAAACTTTCCTTTTTAAACTAACTGGGATGGGTCTCTCTTCTTTGCAATGGAGAGCTTTCATGTCATAAGTGGGGAAAGGTCAGGAGTTAAACCTGTGGGTGTCAGGTAAAGCATGTGGCACTTCTCCAGGGTCTGGGAAAGAGGAATTGGGAGGCCACAGATTGTAGCTCTTCAAGGGGAAGCAAATGGAGTTGACTCCAACAAGAACAGCCTGGAGGTGGTTCAATGGTCACCTCATGGGAGGTCATCAAATCTACCCCATTTAAAGGGGAGTAAGCTTCAAGGTGTCCTAGGAAGGAGCATATACTGATGGGCATATGCTGATGGGTCAAAAGGAGTATCTTCACTCACTACCAGTGTTATTTCTTAGCTTAAGAAATACAAATTAAGGCCGAGCCGTGGTGGTTCACGCCTTTAATCCCAGCACTCGGGAGGCAGAAGCAGGCAGATCTCTGTGAGTTCCAGGAAAGGTGCAAAGCTACACAGAGAAACCCCTGCTGTGGGATGGTCTGTATGTCAAATTGCTCTGATTGGCCAATAAATAAAACACTGATTGGCCCATGGCCAGGCAGGAAGTATAGGCAGGACTAACAGAGAGGAGAATTGAGAGAACAGGAAGGTGGAGGGAGACAGTGCCAGCCACCGCCATGACAAGCAGCATGTGAAGATGCCGGTAAGCCACAAGCCACTTGGCAAGGTATAGATTTATACCTTGGATTTAGGATTAATCCTAAATGGATTAATTTAAGCTATAAGAACAGTTAGCAAGAAGCCTGCCACGGCCATACAGTTTGTAAGCAATATAAGTCTCTGTGTTTACTTGGTTGTGTCTGAGCAGCTGTGGGACTGGCGGGTGACAGAGATTTGTTCTGACTGTGGGCAAGACAGGAAAACTCTAGCTAATAAACCCTGTCTTGAAAAACCAAAAATAAATAAACAAACAAACAAATAAATAAATAAATAAGTAAGTAAAAATAAAAAAAATACAAATTATCTTTCAGAATGGCAGTCACTTGTAGTGAGCATAGTCAGCCTCAAAAAATTCACCAGGGCCACATAACCACCAGTTTCCAAATAAAACAGTTTGGAATACTGTTTAAGAGCTCAGAAGTCAGATGTGGATTGTAAAGTCCTGGCTGTCTGATCATGGATGAGCAAATAACCAAATTTCACCAGGCCTCAGCTCTCCCCTCTTCCTCTTTCTCATTCACCTCCCCCGACACACACACACACACACACACACACACACACACACACACACACACACACACTTTTTCTCTCTTCTCCCTTTCAACAGGGATTAATGCAGCTTAGGTTAGCATCAAATTGCTGTCTCACTGTGAGGCAGAGGCTGACCTTGAATTCCTGATCTTTCTGCTTCTACCTACTGAGGCATGCATACACTACCACACACAGCTGTCTCCTTCATGCTGAACAAGGCATAATAAAGACCAGGGAGATGGTTCAGTAAATAAAATGCCTGCTGTGTAAACATGAAGACTGGGGTTTGGATCCCCAGAACAGAAAAGCTGAGTGGCTGCCTATAATCTCAGCCCTTGCAGGGAAAAGTCAGAACCCCCAAACCAACTATAGACTAACTAGAACTGGTGAGCTCCGTCCGAGTTTAGCAAGAGACCCTACCAAACCAGTAAAGTGGAGAGTGATTGAGAAAGACATCTGACATCGGCCTCAGGCCCCACACACATCCACACATATGTGTACATGAAACCATACATACACACGTGTACCCACACATATAGCCATGCATACATATATACAAAGCACACATATAAAAAAAGAAAAAAGGGAGATGATAATAGAATGTATCTCATAGAGTTACCAAAATAAGTACCATAAGAGACATGATGCCTTATAGCAGGAAGGGAACTTCATATACACATACCTTAGAGGTTCATGGTCATTTTAAATACTCAAGTAAAACCAGTCCAAAGAAACAGAAAAGCACAGTCCACTTTCTAGTGGAACATGAGGCTTAGGGCCTGTGGGTGTGTTTTAGCATTATATAGACACTTGTACATGCCATTATTTTTCAAACATGTATTTTACTGGGAATATTGAAGATCCTGGAGAAAGCCGCTCAACACTCCCTGATCTCTGCCCCTCACTGCAAGGCCTTTTCTATCTGCTGAGTGGAGGATAGACACCGGCCTTTGAAGGTGATTCCAAGCCTGGGCCCACGGTGCCTGGTGGCCTTTCCCTTGGAGTTGCACCATGGCTGGTTTGTCTCCTCATAGATGCAGTTTATGTCTGAGCAGAGTAAGACTATTAAATAGGCTGTCAGTGCAGGGCAGGTGTAGGTAGAATGGAATGTAGACCCAATACGAACTAGAAAATTCATCATAGCCACTCTGTAAAGTTAAGAAAGAATGTTTTTATAATGCATAAAATTTTTGATGATGGATATAATTTTCCAAGTTGTAGGAACCCATTATTGGTTGCCATCCAGGCCCCCAAATAATTTCCAAGCAGGGACATTTCTGGAATTATCTAGATCCTACAAGACCACAGCACCCCACCTCCACCCAACTTCCTGTATCCCACAGAATTCTCCACTTCAGACAAGTTTATCTTTAATCCCCAATATTCCCCTGTCCTACCTCATCCCACAGAGCTCACATTTTGTCTAGTCTTAGTGTATTCAACTTGTTAGTCTAAAGGTGATAGGTCATCTAAATCACTCCCCAGCATCCTCCTGAGATCCTCTTACTCCAGCACAAGAGAACAGATGATGCTGTTTCTGTTCCACCAACTGAGCTATTTGTGACTAATCTCTTCGATCATCTCCTTTTTAATTTCAGCTGGTAGTCAACTGATCAGGAAGACAGGTTTCCCCAGGGGGTGAATGTAGTCTTTGGATTATGGTTTATGACTATCACCACTATCGGGATCCTCTCTCCCCTCGGCCTGTTGGCCACCAGGTCGAGAGGGGAAAGAGGCAGAAGGGGCGACAGAAAGCTTTGTACACTGCCCATGAGCACGAATGGAGACAACCCTCCAGGAGACAGATTTAGATGAATCAGCTCAATTTTATTCCAGAGTATAAGGAATATATAGGATTTGGGAACCTGGAGACAAACCCTAATTTGCATTAAGTGGCACACTCTTATCACAAGGCTAGTATATGGCAGTAGGGTACTATAGTAGATCTCCTAGAGCAAGTCTTCTTCGCAGGGATCTGTGCTAAGGGTCAAGCAAAGACGAATTGGGTATCTGGTCTTAGAGACAGCTTTTAGAAAAGGTCAGTCCTCCAGGCCCAGGACTCTCCAGATAAGGGCAGGCAGAGGTAGGAAGTTCTGCTGGGTTGGGGGTAGCTCCATGTTGCCGAGCTTATTGAGATAAGCTGCTAGGCCATGGGGAGGTTGCAGCCTCTGACCAGCCAGCAATGTTTTCCAACAAACCACTATCCCCCTGGCCTTCACCTCACCTAAAACTACCACCACCAGGTGAAGTCTGTGGGTGGAATTGGATGGGGGATGGTATATGTCTGTCCACAAGGACATGGAGATGATGACCCAGTGCCTGAGAGAGGTCAAAGACCAGGTGAATCAGCTTTCTCTGTTCCCTCTTCTCCCTCCTTTTCTCTCTCACCATGAGCATCTTTTAAAAAAAAACATCCTGGTCTCATATTCTCCCCAAAGACAGGACAGCATCCTTTCCTCTGAGTATCCATAATGGCTAGGCAGATTCCTATCACATCACAAGAGCCACCACACGGTGTAGAGATTTTTTTCTTACTCCACTGCCTTCCAAGTGCTCCATCATCTTCTTTTTAAATTACCAATGGCTACCACGATTTATTCATAGCTAGCACAGAAAAAAAAAATGTGTAGCTGGAGTTTTCTCCAGTCTTGCCTGGCCTGTGGTCAAAATAAATCTCTCTCACCCGCTGGTGCTGCAGCCACTTAGACCCAAATAAATACACACAAGCTAATATTATTTAAAACAGTTTGGCCTAATGGCTTAGGCTTCTTGCTAGCTATATCTTTTTTTTTTTTTCTGAGACAGGGTTTCTCTGTGTAGCTTTGCGCCTTCCCTGGAACTCACTTGGTAGCCCAGGCTGGCCTGGAACTCACAGAGATCCTCCTGGCTCTGTCTCCCAAGTGCTTGGGATTAAAGGCGTGTGCCACCATGACCCAGCATATATATATCCTACATCTTAAATTAGCACATTTCTATTAATCTATACCTTGCCACATGGCTCGTGGCCTACTGGTATCTTACATGTTGCTTGTCATGGCGGCGGATGGCAGCGTCTCCTGACTCAGCCTTCCACTTCCCAGAATTCTCCTCTCTCCTTGTCCCGCCTATACTTCCTACCTGGCTACTGGCCAATCAGCACTTTATCAATCAATCATCCACAGCAAAAATGTTTCTTTTTGAAAGGTTCCACATATTTTATTACAGAACCAACTAGCTAGCCATTGTGGAACAGATAAAAGCAAACAAGATCCTCAGTTTAAACATGACCAAACTCCAGAGGTTAAAATAAAAACTTTCTACCAGCTGGTGGAACTGTTTGGGAAGAATTAGAAGGTGTGATCTTGTTGGAGGAGATGTGTTGCTGGTGGATGTCTTTCTGTATGCTGTGAATATATGTTGTTCCTATTGATTAACTATAGCAAAGCAGCTTGGATGCAGGTGGGAAATCCAAGGAGGTAGACAGGAAAGAGGAAGGCAGAGTGGGAGAGACACCAGACTGCCATCTTAGGAACAACATGTAATGGGACACAGGTAAAGCCACAGAACATGTGGCGGTACATAGATTAATAGTTATGGGTTGAGTTAAACTATAAGAGGTAGCTAGCAAGAGGCCTGCTATAGGCCATACAGCTGATAATTGATATTAAGCCTCTGAATGATTATTTTATAAGTGACTGAGGGACTGCAGGGCCAGACAGGACCTGAGAAAACTTACAGCTACAGTGTGTTACTGAGGGTAGGTTTTGAGGTTTTAAAAAGCCTACACCATTCCCAGTTAATCTCTCTCCATGTCATGCTTGTGGATCAAGATATAATCTCTCAGCTACTGCTCTAGCACCATACCTGTCTGCCTGCTCAATGCTCTCTACCATGATGGTCATAGTCTCTGAAACTGTAAGCCCCAGATAGACTCTTTCTCTGTAAGCTGCTTTGGCCATAGTGTCTTGCCACACCAACTCCAGTGTCGTCCGTGTGACATGAACAATTATGTCAATAATAGCGGACGGGAGATACGTGTCCCGGGGACTAAGCTCCCTGGAGGTCCCTGGCAGAGTGCCTGTGTTATGCCTCTTTCTCGAAGGAGACGTGCTTCACAGATCATGAGCTCTCTGGTCTATGTGTTCTGTATAACTGCTTTTCTGATAATGTTCTAATTGGTCTATAAAACACAGCCAAAATTAATGAATGCTTGGGTTGTGAACTGTGGAGGAAAGGG